TTAGGGTTCTGTTTGATTGTTTGAGGAAAAAAAATGTTTCGTTGATTGTTTCTTAGCGCCATGCTTTCCTGACGTTGTGCTATTGTCTGGGATTGATCCGATTAGGAGGCAAGAAAGGTTGGATTTTCTCTACGAGTCAGGATTGGCGGTGGGAAAGGGGAGCTCAGATGGGTTCAAGGCTCTTCAAGCACCACCAGCGGCGGCTTCCACTACCTCAACATCCGAGGCTAGTTCCACCAAGGTACAATTCTTTTAGGATTATTATGTACTTTTATCATGATTTTCATTTTTGTGAATCATCATGATTGGGTATAAAGATATGGCGTATATCGTGATGGCGATGTTGTTAGGCATCAATTGAACGTCCAATTTTCTACATCTTGAACGGGGCTTCAGAATACAGTCATGTACTTGAACAATAACTTTATAGAAGGTTGCATCAAAGAAATATCACAATCCCGAATGAGATATTTAAGCATATGGAGACTTAACAATACTTTTTCCATGTGTGGAGAGTGGAGACAACAATAAATTTAATCATATGGAGACTTAAGAATATTTATTGGTTTCTATCCCTCTGGTTTATCATCTCTTTGCTCTATTACTATTTACACGTTATTGTTTCTGAAGCAAGGAAAAGCCATACATGCTTTCTCAAAGTATCTTTAATTGCCCAGTCAGACAGTTCCTAGCAAGAAAGTCCTGAAGCACAGGATATTTGGAGATTGTTTCATCATTGCTAGTTAAACCTAATAATCAGTACTAGGGAAAAAAAATCCAAATAAGCATTACTAGAAATAAAAGCTTTCTTTCACGATTTTGAGTACGTTAAGTTATGTTTAATAATGAATGCCATTCTAATAGCTGGTTAATAAATGCATCATGAACTTTTCTACTAAATTGATTTAAGGGATTTTTCTTTGGCTATCTTACATTAGAGTTTTTTTATAAAATTAGTATTATATTAAAGAGATTTCTCTTTGGCATCAATCTACAACTTTATCGGATGAGCATGAGAAGCTTTGTTTGTTTGCTACAAGTTATTACTTTATCATACCACGATATGAAAAGTTTGTAACCATGATTTGCTGACCTCTAGTATCACTGGATGATAATCATAATCATGTATATCTTTCTCTTTTGTTTCTTATTTTATGGAACCTTTATTTTTAGGGCTACAACTGTGTACATTACCCTTCCCTACACCTCATATTGCTGGGAGCTTCAGGCACCAGATGCACTTCTTATTTCATGGAACTTCTTTTTGTGTTGAATTTTGTCAATAGGAAAACCCATTTTCAGAGTATTCAGTAACATCTAAGAATTTCCATCACTTTGGCTACGGAAGACATCAGTCATTCATGTCTCTTACGAATTATTTATTAGTAATAGTTTAGTTTTTTTAGAACTCCAGTAGATATGGAATTTCGGGCAACACCTACATTAATTTTAAGGTGGCCAAAATTCTTTAACCCAATTATATATTAATGACTATATTGATAAGTTGCCTTAGGGATTTCATGTTCAAAGATGGACTTGGAATAGCGGAGGCTTTTTTGTTTTTGTCTACTTTTTCATAAAAGAACTAATGTGAAACATAGAAGAATTTTTATCACAAACTTGAGCACGCTCAAGTTTTTTTTTCTCTTAATTATTTTAAGCTACACTATGATATGTCTGACCCTCGATCATGTTCACCATACCTTTTTCTCTTAATTATTTTAAGTTTCACTACGATTTGTCTGACCCTTGATCATGTTCACCGTTCCCAAAAATCTTCGGAAACTGCCACTTCAGCTGTCATCAATGATCAAACCTGATAAATATATGTGATTATACAAAAAAATGCATATGTCAATTTACCATGAGTAGATAGTTGATTCATCATGGCTGGTACATGATTGTAAGTGCATTATCAAGGTGATAATAAATAAAATATTTGACAGTCACATTTAATAGTTTAACAGTAAATATTTTACCTTTTTGCAGTGGTAAGCAGGATACTCGACATATCATTTTAAGCTCCGACACCTATATGTGACTTGAGCAATGTGCTCCTATACTGTGGCTTCATGGATTGACATTTTCTAGATGCATGAAGTGTCCCAGAGTTTGAGTGCTTAAAATTTTAGAGATATGCTTTTCTTATAAACTTTTTTCATTTTATGTAAAGAGATAAAGTAATTTTCAACCTATACTCCTGACCACATGGGCAAAAAATGGCTAGGACAGATAGCTAGAAACCATTTTTTTGCTAGTGCTCCATGAACTTTTTCCTTTTAAAACAACATATTTTGATTGTTTGCAAGCTCTACAACTACACTAAACTAGGAAAATTATGAACTAAATACACCTCAAGAGTAGCATCAGAATGCTAATTTTTCTTCTTACAGTAGAAATTCATCATTATGCTACATTTCTCTTTCTTTTTCTCTGTGCTTGTGTCCTTCCTCTTCTTTCTTTCTTCTTTTTTTGTTGCTTTCCTTCACTTCTATCTTTGAAATCTCAACCCATATAGCATGTTGTTCTGTCTTGTGCAGTAGCAGCTAGCTTTTGCTATTTGTGGTGTTACCAAATCCCGGTTCTCCAGTTTCTTACCTGGAGATAAGTCCTCATAAGCCATATTGGCTATTGGTATATCAGTGGAATGTTTCTGGTTTATGTAAAACATAACAATAATCCACCTGAGAATGAGGATAGGGGTGAGGTTAGTTGAGGTGAGGAGTAGCAAAAAGAGCACTCCCCGTCTCTTTCCTTGCTATCTGTGGTGTTACCAAGTCCCAACTCTTCACCTCATTAAGAATAAAATTATTGATCCATTGTAGCTATGCTGCTTTAGCTATCGGTACATCAGCAGACAATTTCTGTTATATGGAAAACACAACAATGATCCTCCGGCGGATCAGAATAGGGGTGTGTGACTATAGGAAGTTTCTCTTGTGAAAAATCATATATTAATATATGCAAGATATATTTAAAAATGTTGTATGCCATTGTGGATACTGTAATTGTACACCCACCTTTATACTCTTCTTTCTGGAGCCTGTTTTATTTTTCCTTTTGTTTACTACATCTTTCACAAATAAACATTTGTATTTGTGGATGAAATGGACTGAGTACTGTTACAATGTTGGCTTTTACCGTAGATTTAGGTGAGTAAAATAAGTATTTACTAAATATGTCTGATTGAGGCTTTTGCATGCTGTCTTTTGATATGCTAGCTGTTGGACGCAGTGTAATACTGTGCCACCATGTTATACATGTGGAAAGTTTCTTTGCTATATCATGAGACATGCACAATATCAAGTGTTCATTATTCCTGTAGATCCATTGTTGCCTTTTATTATAGT